TTTCAAACATTCACGATTTTCTTTATCTGTTCTGTCTCAACAGCACAGTACCAACGTTAGAGCATACTTTAAAAAGACTGTCAAAAGCTAAGGTAGTATTTTAATAAGAGTATATATTACTTTCAATTTAAGTTTTTCATCATGTTATACATCCTGCATCAATCTAGACAGTAATTTGATTAAGTAAACAATGTATGTTGTGTTTGTCAAGTGCTTAATAATGAAAGGCAAATAACATTTTTAGTATTCTTCTCGGCTATTTGGTGTTTTTTTTTTTAAATTGAAAGAAAAACACAGCATTTCATCTCACAAAAAAGACTTTATACAATTTTGATATTCTTTTTATGAGACGAAACGTTGTGTCTTTCTTTTCCTCTATAAAAAGAAACTCAAGACAATTGGATACACTACTTTCAACAAACTTTAGAAAAAGTTTTTTGTTTTTTTTTACCTATCCAGCCATACATTTACAATGTGCTGTAAAATAGGTGCCCTTTTTCTCTTATTCTCTAAGAAGTAAGTATTTCACTAAGTCTGAATATTTGAGCCAGAAGCGCTACATCTTCTTTGAAATCTGACTTTTTTTTTTTAGCAGAAATGGATCATCCCCCCCCCCTCAAAACAACTTTCTACTAATACCTTTTAATTTTTTACCTTTAAGGTGTTTACCTCATTTCCACTTATGCTTCTAATTTTTGTTGTTGTGGAGCAATTTTGGTAATTTTTGATTACTTAATTTTTTATTTTATTGTCTACTCCTTTGTAACTTAAAGTTTTGGTGGTTTTAATGCATGTTAATAAAAGCTTCAAAGTTTCGAAAGTCATGTCTTTGAAGTTGACTTTGAAGGCCCTCAGTGATATTGTTACAGAGTATGCCCACAACGTTTCATTACTTATTACTAACAATTAATATTTCATGCCTTTCTAATTCTGAAATATTAGCTTCTCAGTGGACTTCTGAATCATATAATATATAAGAACTTAAAGATGTTGCAAGAACGATGAAATGTTGCACTAATACAAAGATATATACTCCACGAAAAGAGACTAAATACATTTACTTGCTAATGTATATAATTTATATATATATATAATTACTGTTTAAAGAAGATGATTAATAGAAAAACAAAATCCTCACAAAATATTTTAATCCTTGATTGTGTAAAAAAACTGTCTAAAGAAGATGATTAATAGAAAAACAAAATCCTCACAAAATGTTTTAATCCTTGATTATGTAAACAACTATGAATAAAATAAAACCTTTAATTTCATTTCTGAACTTTACGTAGAGTATTTTTTTTTCTTTTGTAGATCTTTGATAACTCAACGGTAAGCATGAGGTTTTACATTACAACACTAAAATCGGGATTTATTACTACGACAGCACAGCGCAGATACTTCATTGTACAGCTTTGCTCTTAAATAGATAATGAAGATTAAGTGATAAATTTCTGTTCATATTTTTGTAGTCACATGTGTGCTTTAAAAGGTGTGGTCAAATCCCACAAATTGATCAGATAAGAATGGCTCAAGAGTTAGTGGTAGGTGCTGTTGACTGGCTGCCTTCTCTTTATTTTATCAATTCACAGTTAGGATGATTATGAGAATACATTGCTTATGTACCTCTAGACGAAATTATAAAACAAACAAATAAATAATAACTATCACAAAACATGGTCTGGTGGTTAGAGCGCTCGACTGGCAATCTGCGGATCACGTTCGCCACTCTGTAAACAAACTTGTAAAATTAAATTAAATAACCTAGGTGGGGTATAAGATTCAAAATTACTTAAGTGTGTGACGTGTACGGCCTTTCCAGATTTTTATTCGTGCCTCAGCTCCATCAGTAAGTATATTTACACTAACTTTTAATCTAGGTGATTCCAAACAATGAAACCGTTAATCACCCAGAATCAGGTTGCTTCACGCTATCAAAGACCCATTAATCCTCCTCCTATGTGAGATTAAATGCCAAATCTACCGTAACACAGCTCACCAATCAATTGTAGAAATGTGGACTGAGCACACAAGATAACAGTTAAAATAAGAGTGCAGTCAAAGTTACTTACAGAATGATTGTTGTGACGTCACTTCAACAGTGTATGGCGTCGCAACTTGGTGAATCTGCACCTTTTAGCACTTCGTTACAGTACAGCAGTAGGGTGAGACGTACTTTTAGTCTGTGTTCAGGTAGAATTTCAAGTTAAGATTTTTTTAAAGATTCTCTGATTTTTATTCTTAATCTCTTTAGTTATTTGTAGAATCTGAGTAAAAAATAATTAGATATTGCATATTTTCATGTTATTGAAGTTTTTGTAAGTATCTTTCCATAGTGTAAGAATTTCATTCAGTTTTGTAGCATTGAAAACACATTTTTCATTGCTAAAATATTTCGCGGTTTATTCATTCTTATCTTCTAAATTTGTTATACAAAAAGAATCAGGTTCGAGTATACAATAATGTACAAGCCGTAGTCTGATGTAGTTAGAGAAAAATGTGTTGTTTGAAGTATTTCTATTCATTTTCTTAAAATATATGTGTATCATATATGCACTTATTAAAGCCTCATCGTCTGCGTGTCCTTTAAATCCTATGGACCCAGAGCTTAGCAAATTATCAACAGCAAATGTTACTTATTAGAACTTACATTTGAGAGATATTTCCAGAGATGCAATGTGGTATTTTTTATACTTATGGTTCAATGGAGAAATGTTAAGTTGTTTTTAAACACAAAACTACGAAATGGGCTACCTGTGCTTTGCCAACCACGGGTATCAAAACCCGATTTTTAAAGTCATGAGTCTGCTAACTTAACGATGAGTCACTGGGGAGGGGGGGGGGGGTGAAGAAGTGTTAAAAGCATAAAGAGATTGTATAGTAACCATAAAGTTTTAGGAGGAAGTAAGAAACACAAATCAAAGGATAAATATTGAAAATAACATGAGATGATAAATATCATTAACGAAGAAAAGTCCAAAGTAACAGCACTAAACACGACCGTCTCCTCGAAACGAGTACGTTCACTCAGTTAATTAAACTATGTAATTATAGAATTACGTTAACAGCAGTCAGCTGTAAGAAAAATCGTATAACATAATTAAAAACCTATAGTTATCGACATGTTTTAAAAAACAATGGTAGGAAGGAATGATATCACTAAACTCATATCAATGAACATTCGCTTTCTCTGTTCCAAGTTCTTTACAAGTCCTAGAATAAGGTTCTTGATAATAATGACTTTTCTTGATTTGACAAAATTCTGACAAGTTGTAACTTGCTCTTGACACTAAGCGTGTATTTGAACCATCTAAAATGATATAACAAGAACTTTAATTTCATTGAAAGGAAAAAATATATATATTTAAAAGATTCAAAAACGGCCTGGGCCTGATTCAGTAGTTAACGTGCCGTTTTGTGTATAGGAAATCCAAGGTTCGAGTCCGCGATATGCCTTCAAATACGCCCTTTACTTTTAACTATTTTTGCGTTATAAAAGTGACAGTCATTTCCTCTATTCGGTTAAAAGTCCTCGTGTAGGAATGATATGCCTAAACCTTTGGATCGTTAACTTAACTCATGTTTAACTCATGATGTGTCGCGTAATCTGCTGTTCTGGTTCAAAAAATATACCAAATATGCTTAGCCAAAGGTGTTACTTTCTAATTCTTTTCGTTTTTACTGTCGAAAATAAAACACAAAAAACATCTCAACAGCCCTTACATATAATAAACGCTGGTCTCTGAGATTTCTAAAAAACGACGGAAAACACTGTTGTTACAAAGGTGGACACATGACCTTATTACAAACTGATTAGCTTCTGCCAAATCTTGATGATAAAATTAACTTACGTAGAGGACAAAGATAAATATTTCGATTTCAATATGTCCAAATTTGGAGGAATGAAACAGTTAAGAGTGAAATAAAATGATAATTTTCGCTTTTCTTTATACAGAAACATATTAAGTCAATAAAAAAATATACGTTTGTTTATAGTTAAGCCAAAGCTACACAATGGGCTATCTGTGCTCTGCTAACCACGGGTATCGAAACCCGGTTTCTAGCGTTGTAAGTCCGCAGACATTCCGCTGTGCCTCTGGGGACCCAGAATTATGTGAATAAAATTATTATATGTCATATTATAACGAAATACCTAGACCTGGGTCATGCTTAATTGTTATACACCTTTAAACTTGAAGAACTGACAACGTTTCTTCATAATTATTTAGACCCGGCATGGCCAGGTGGTTAGGAGGCTCGACTCGCAATCTGCAGGTCGCGGGTTCGAATCCCCGTCCCTCCAAACATGCTCGCCCTTTCAGCCGTGGGGGGCGTTATAATGTGAGGGTCAATCCCACTATTCATTGGTAAAAGAGTAG